AGCCCTGGTCCAGCCCTGGTCCAGCCCTGGTTTAGTCCTGGTTTAGTTCCTGGTTTAGACCTGGTTCTGACCTGGTTCAGTCCTGGTCCAGCCCTGGTTCAGTCCTGGTTTAGTCCTGGTTTAGTCCTGGTTTAGTCCTGGTCCAGCCCTGGTTCAGTCCTGGTCCAGCCCTGGTTCAGTCCTGGTTCAGTCCTGGTTTAGTCCTGGTTTAGTCCTGGTTCAGTCCTGGTCCAGCCCTGGTTCAGTCCTGGTCCAGCCCTGGTTCAGTCCTGGTTCAGTCCTGGTTTAGTCCTGGTTTAGTCCTGGGTTCAGTCCTGGTTCAGTCCTGGTTCATCCTGGTTAGCCCTGGTTCAGTCCTGGTTAGTCCTGGTTTAGTCCTGGTCCAGCCCTGGTTTAGTCCTGGTTTAGTCCTGGTTTAGTCCTGGTCCTTTTCCTGGTTTAGTCCTGGTTTAGTCCTGGTTTAGTCCTGGTCCAGCCCTGGTTCAGTCCTGGTTTAGTCCCGGTTTAATTCTGGTCCTGACCTGAGCTGTTGGTCTTTCCGTCCCTGAGCGTCTCCAGGGCCATGAACCCGAAGGCGTTGAGTCTGTAGTTGAGGCTGACGTAGACCAGGCCCGTCTCCGCCGCCAGCCGCTCCGAGGGGGAGTACCCGGCCTCGCCCCCGCTCAGCATGTGCAGGTACCCGCCGTGGATCCACACCAGCACGGGCAGCGGGGCGGGCGGCGCCAGCGACGGGGTCCACACGTTCAGGAAGAGACAGTCCTCGTGTCCCAGCACCGAGCCGGAGCTGGACAGAGGCCGGACCTGGGACCAGGAAGTAATAATAATAATAATAATACAACTTTAGTGCAGAAGGTCACTTGTTATGGCAAAAATTAATAAAAAAAAAAAAAGTGGAAAAATAAAAGATAAACATGAAGATATTAAAGAGAGGGTAGTATCCTAAATTAACCTTTTGGCGTTTAGTCCTGGCTCAGTCCTGATTTAGTCCTGGTTTAGATCTGGCTTAGTCCTGGTTTAGTCCTGGTTTAGATCTGGTTTAGTCCTGGTTTAGATCTGGTTTAGTCCTGGTTTTCCTGGTTTACATCTGGTTTAGTCTGGTTTAGTCCTGATTTAGTCCTGGTTTAGATCTGGTTTAGTCCTGGTTTAGTCTGGTTTAGTCCTGGTTTAGATTTAGATCTGGTTTAGTCCTGGTTTAGATCTGGTTTAGTCCTGGTTTAGTCCTGGTTTAGATCTGGTTTAGTCCTGGTTTAGTCCTGGTTTAGTCCTGGTTTAGATCTGGTTTAGTCCTGGTTTAGATCTGGTTTAGTCCTGGTTTAGATCTGGTTTAGTCCTGGTTTAGTCTGGTTTAGTCCTGGTTTAGATCTGGTTTAGTCCTGATTTAGTCCTGGTTTAGATCTGGTTTAGTCCTGGTTTAGATCTGGTTTAGTCCTGGTTTAGTCCTGGTTTAGTCTGGTTTAGTCCTGGTTTAGTCCTGGTTTAGATCTGGTTTAGATCTGGTTTAGTCCTGGTTTAGTCCTGGTTTAGATCTGGTTTAGTCCTGGTTTAGTCCTGGTTTAGATCTGGTTTAGTCCTGGTTTAGATCTGGTTTAGTCCTGGTTTAGATCTGGTTTAGTCCTGATTTAGTCCTGGTTTAGATCTGGTTTAGTCCTGGTTTTAGATCTGGTTTAGTCCTGGTTTAGTCCTGTTTTAGACCTGGTTTAGTCCTGGTTTAGTCTGGTTTAGATCTGGTTTAGTCCTGGTTTAGATCTGGTTTAGTCCTGGTTAGTCTGGTGGTTAGATCTGGTTTAGTCCTGGTTTAGATCCTGGTTTTAGTCCTGGTTTAGATCTGGTTTAGTCCTGGTTTAGATCTGGTTTATCTGGTTTAGTCCTGGTTTAGTCCTGGTTTAGATCTGGTTTAGTCCTGGTTTAGTCCTGGTTTAGATCTGGTTTAGTCCTGGTTTAGTCCTGGTTTAGATCTGGTTTAGTCTGGTTTAGATCTGGTTTAGATCTGGTTTAGTCCTGGTTTAGATCTGGTTTAGTCCTGGTTTAGATCTGGTTTAGTCCTGGTTTAGTCCTGGTTTAGATCTGGTTTGGTTTAGATCTGGTTTAGTCCTGGTTTAGTCCTGGTTTAGTCCTGTTAAATCAACCTTTCGGCGTTTTCTACCATGTTATAATGTTCCCCTATCAGAAACCTGCCTGAAGAGGTTTTAGATTCATTCATGCATGTTTTTTAAAACTAAAACAAATTCTAAAAGATATTTTCTTATATTTTAGAACATGTTTATAGAGGTCTCATTGACTGGGACAGCAGGTTTAAATAAAAATATAATGTCCTTTGTAAAAAAAAAAAAAAAAAACCAAACACTAAACATCCTCTGACCTGAGCGCAGACGCTGCCGAAGCGCGTGGCGTCGTGCACCGAGTCGCTCTTACACTCTGCGGCCACAGGGGGAGCCCACCGCAGGGGGCCAACAGGGGGCGCCGCATACCTCAGGCCTTTGAACGAGTATGCTCCATGTTTCTGAAAATACAAAAAAAAAAAACACAACATGATTAATCGCTGTGTGGAGCGTGTGCACAGTAAGAGAAGTCTCCTGCTTCTGCGGTCGTAAATCAGACCTATTCTGCAAAACGGACTTTTCAGAGTTTTTATCCATGTTAGAGTTGTTTCCTCTCACCATTTACCCACTCAGAGTTGGATTTGTTGTGATTTGTGCATGTTTGTGGTTTTAGGTTCTTTTTTCAGACCAAGAGTTTGTTTTCAGACCGGACAGTTTCCTCAGAGTCACGTGATGTCGCTGTGACGTGTCGCTCAGCTGATTTGAACAGATTTTGGCGCCACCTGCAGTCCGACTTCCTCATGACAGAATCCCATATTCAAACCCTAGAGGTACAAACCTGGTTTAGTACCTGGTTAGTCCCGGTTCAACCCTTGTTGAGCCCAGACTTAGTCCTGGTTCAGTCCTAATTCAGTCCTGATTTAGTTCTTGTTCAGTCCTGGTTAAGACCTGCTTTAGTCCTGGTTCAGTCCCGGTTTAGTCCTTTTTTAGTCCTGGGTCAGCCATAGTTCAGTCCCAGCTCAGTCCTGGTTCAGACCTGGTTCAGTCCTGGTTCAGTCCTGGTTTCAGTCTTGGTTCAGTCCATTTTTAGTCCTGGTTTAGTCCTGTTTCAGTCCTCGTTCCGTCTTGGTTTAGTCCCTGGTTTAGTCTTGGTTCAGTCCTGGTTCAATCTCAGTTTAGTCCTGGCTTTGTCCTTTTTTAGTCTTGGTTCAGTCCTTTTTTAGTCCTGGTTTAGTCCTGGTAGAGTTCTGGTTCATTCCTCGTTCAGTCCTGGTTTAGTCTTGGTTCAGTCCTGGTTTAGCCTTGGTTTAGTCCCTGGTTTAATCCTGGTCTAGTCCTGGTTTAGCCCTGGTTTAGTCCTGGTTTAGTCCTGTTTCAGTCTTCGTTCTGTCTTGGTTTAGTCCCTGGTTTAGTCCTTGTCTAGTCCTGGTTTAGTCCTGGTCTAGTCCTGGTCTAGTCCTGGTTTAGTCCTGGTCTAGTCCTGGTCTAGTCCTGGTTCAGTCCTGGTTTAGTCCTGGTTCAGTCCTGGTTTAGTCCTGGTTTAGTCCTGGTTCAGTCCATTTTTAGTCCTGGTTTAGTCCTGTTTCAGTCCTCGTTCCGTCTTGGTTTAGTCCCTGGTTTAGTCTTGGTTCAGTCCTGGTTCAATCTCAGTTTAGTCCTGGCTTTGTCCTTTTTTAGTCTTGGTTCAGTCCTTTTTTAGTCCTGGTTCATTCCTCGTTCAGTCCTGGTTTAGTCTTGGTTTAGTCCTGGTTTAGTCCTGTTTCAGTCTTCATTCTGTCTTGGTTTAGTCCCTGGTTTAGTCCTGGTTCAGTCCTAGTTTAGTCCTGGTTTAGTCCTGGTTTAGACCTGGTTTAGTCCTGGTTTAGTCCTGGTTTAGTCCTGGTTCTGACCTGGTTTAGTCCTGGTTTAGTCTTGGTTCAGTCCATTTTTAGTCCTGGTTCAGTCCTGGTTTAGTCCTGGTTTAGTCCTGGTTTATTCCTTTAGTTCTGGTTTAGTCCTGGTTCAGTCCTGGTTTAGTCCTGGTTTAGTCCTGGTTTCAGTCCTGGTTCAGTCCTGGTTTAGTCTGGTTTTAGTCCTGGTTCAGTCCTGGTTAGTCCTGGTTTAGTCCTGGTTTAGTCCTTGTTCAGTCCATTAGTTTAGTTCCTGTCCTGGTTCAGTCCTGGTTTAGTCCTGGTTCAGTCCTGGTTCAGTCCTGGTTCAGTCCTGGTTTAGTCCTGGTTTAGTCCTGGTTTAGTCTTGGTTCAGTCCATTTTTAGTCCTGGTTCAGTCCTGGTCTAGTCCTGGTTCAGTCCTGGTTTAGTCCTGGTTCAGTCCTGGTCTAGTCCTGGTTCAGTCCTGGTTTAGTCCTGGTTCAGTCCTGGTTTAGGCCCAAAACGGACTTTTCAGAGTTTTTATCCATGTTAGAGTTGTTTCCTCTCACCATTTACCCACTCAGAGTTGGATTTGTTGTGATTTGTGCATGTTTGTGGTTTTAGGTTCTTTTTTCAGACCAAGAGTTTGTTTTCAGACCTGACAGTTTCCTCAGAGTCACGTGATGTCGCTGTGACGTGACCTGCAGTCCGACTTCCTCATGACAGAATCTCAGGCGTGTGAGAGTAAAAAAGGCCCCTCGTCCCGGTTTATCGTCCCGTGGGGATGTTTCTGTATTTTGATTGCTTCTTTAATCCAGCGACGGTGTTTGTTTTCTTCTGTCCCAGTGACGTTTGCTCCATCCCAGTCCAGAATGTGTTTTTCTCTTTTACAGTGGTTCACAAACAGACAATTTGAGTTCTTGTTTGTGTTTTGTTGCTCGTGTTTCACTTTCATTGTTTCCTTCTCGCATTCTGTCCTATGTTCCTTTTTTCGTGCATTGAACATCCTCCCTGTTTCCCCGATGTTGTTTTATATGATCTGTTTTATTGCAGGACATGCAGGGTATTTGTATATGACTTTACATTTATGATGCAGTTCTATTTTATCTTTTCAGTGGACGAGTAATACATGCACCATCAATTTTGGACTCATGGTGCAATCCATACTGGGAAGGATTTTCCAAAAAAGTGAGCATCAAACCGCCATGTTTGATTGATTTATTTATTTATTTGAAGAGGGAGAATGCACATTAATCAACATCAAAACAATGTAAATGTGCCGGAGTTCGCTGATAAGAGCTAATTTGCATCGGTAGTCCCTTTGCCAGATGTCAAAAAGGCATCATCCTAAAAGAAAATACACTTAAAAGTTACACATCAAAAATTACACAAATGTACAGTAAGATTACAAAAATACAATAAAAGTTTTCGCGTTCACACATGCGTTTCTAAAAGCCACTTTTTAGCATTCGTTTTAAAAGCAGAGCGTGAGGGAGATTTCCCAGTGGGATGTGTCCATTGACAAAGTCGATCTTTTCAAGTCTTTTGAACCAGATCACTTTTGTTTCTGATTCTGATATTATCATATTTTAGTTATGGGATTCGTTTTCCGCTGTTAGGATCCAACAACCACACAATTACGATGTCTGAATCCCAAAACTAAAATATGACAATATCAGAACCAGAAACAAAAGTGATATGGTTCAAAAAACTTGAAAAGATCGACTTTGTCAATAGACTCATCCCACTGGGAAAACAAACATGGAGGTTTGATGCTCACTTTTTCAGAGGATCCTTCCCAGTATGGATTGAGTAGGGTGACCAAACGTCTGTTTTTTTACTGAAAACCCGGACATTTGCATCACTTTATAAAAAAAACCCCGGACAAGACACAAAATACAGACATGTCCGGGGTTTTTTTTTTATAAAGTTGATGCAAATGTCCAGGTTTTCAGTACCGTTCATTGGGGGAATTAAACTGAGCGTCTCTCGTAGCGTCTGTGACTCAGAAGGAGCGAGACACAAACAGTCGGTCAGTCTGCAACACACCGAAGCACAAATGCACATTTAACAATGACTTGTACAAGAAATTCTCCGTTTTCCGTCCCGGTCGGGACAAGTGTGAGTCCATGTGCACAGGTTGAGGTGAGAGGACAGTGTCCCTCGTTTATCACGGGAGTTATGTTCTAAAAATAATAAAATAAATAGGTGAAATCCGGGAAGTATCAACTTTATATTTTACAATTATTCTATCTGTGTTCAGGCTGTAAAACCTCAGCACAAACTTTATACACTTTTCTCAGACAGGATCGACAGGTGCAACCCTTTTTACTTCCTTCTTAAAACTTGTTGCTGCTGTCGTCCTTTTGTTATTTTCCTCCTTCTTTATGTAACAAACTGAAGATTCATTTATTCCGTAATGGAGCCAACAGCGCAGAGTCCTGCACGGGGCCATTTTTGGAGACCCCCAGTACAACACCGCACCTGCGCAGTACAGGACCGCACCTGCCAGTTAACCCGAGATTATATCAAACTTTTGCGCTGCCTACGCCACGGACTGAACCAAGACTAAACCAGGACTGATTCCAGGACTAAACCAGGACTGAACCAGGACTGAAACAGGACTCACCGTCAGGACGGGCTCGGAGGCGACCGCAGGAGAAAGGACCGGCTCAGCTCCACACCTCACGGAGTTAAACGCGGCAATTGCCCGATCGCGCTTTGCGGACAAACTGCTCGGTGTTCTCTCTCTTAAATGCAAGATTAGTCCTGGTTTAGACCTGGTTTAGTCCTGACCCATTTACTACCCGCCTGTAATACACAATACGCGTTCATACACTGTAAAAAAAATTGCATAAAAAAAAAAAATCTGAGAAACGGTGAGACCCCCCCCCCCCTCCCCCAAGGTGTCCGGGTTTTCACAAACGGAAATATGGTCACCCTAGGATTGAGCAATGACCAGAAGTCCCAATTTCATGATGCATGTATTACTCGTCCACCAGTTTTCTCTACGGTTTCACTGGTGTGTTGATATTATTTTTTATAATGGTTCTATGATTATAGTTTTCTCATCGCCCTCTGCACTTTTTCTGTTATGCCCCTTATAAATGCATGTTTGAGTACCGTATTTTATTTACCGTATAAGTCGCACCAGCCAAAAAAATTGCATAATGAAGAGGAAAAACACATCCGCTTCCTCTTCTGTGTCGCTGTCGTCAGACTCAGCATCAGTTCCAGTTAGAATTATTCCGGCCTTTCTGACTCCCGACAGGATGGTTTCCTTGGTTTTCCTTCAGAAGTTGCTCTTGTGAAGTTTCTGTCTGATGTCGTGAAGTGTTTTATATTAATCTTCCGCGGCTGTAAACTTTCCGTCGTCCATCACGAGTCATTCCCGATGCGACGCTCCGTGTTTACGCGACTGTAGTGGTTTTACAGAACGTATTTTGAAAGGGCATCGGAAGTTTATTTTGACAACGCCTGCTTATTTCATGTCTTTCCCCGGATAAAAGCCGGGAGACGATCCGCTGACGCTGCAAAATTAGAACTCCAACCTAATTTGAGCAGCATGTAGCGTCATGACGTTGAAAATCAGTGCACTTTTTTCTTTTATT